CTCCGGATTCATCGACATTGTTATCGTAATCACTGTTCTGTTCCTCACTCTGTGCATCTGCCAAATTNACATCTCCAGCATTGTGATTACAAGAAATTCCCGACATTCGTCCGGAGTCCTCAGAAAATCACTCAAAGTTTCATCATCGTCGATGTTAAACTCCGAGTAAAAAGCAACCCCTTGCGGAGTGACGAATACAGATATCTTCCGGTTACTTTAAGTATCACTGAACGTTTCCTCACACTCAGTTTTTTGCATAACAACGATATCAATTTATCGTACTCTATTGTAAGTGGCAATTTAACATGACACTGAGCAGGTAAACTGTAGCCCACAGAGTTATTCTCCATCACAACCTCACCCCCCAAATATAATGAAACTCTTATTCTACGCTCTTCAGACATAATGAAAAAATGCTGGAGAATTTAAGAACAATAAACGTTTCAACAAGAGGTAAAAATTCTTTTGAATGAATTTTTATACAATCCTAACCTTTTTATATAGGAAATGGCTAGCCGGGAATATTTTTTTATATAGGTATAGCGCCCAAAAAGTTGGCACTATACACTTTTGAATTATTGAAGTCAGGAATTATTGGTAGGGCCAGGAAAAAGATGTATAGTTCCACTATACCTGGCGCTATACATTAATGATGTATGTATAGCGCCAGGTATTGTGGCACTATACCTGGGCGTGTCAGATTTTACAGTATAGCGCCACAATACCTGGCGCTATACATTAACGGTGTCGTTACTGTTAGTGTATAGCACCAGGTATTATGGCGCTATATATAAAAATGTAATATTTTTTTTTACCACCTATTTGTGTAGTTTGAGTTCAAAAGAACCATATTTTGATTCCGGACTCCGACATAAATGTACAAAGATCAGTTAGGCAAACCACAAGGCCACTAGCCGAAGAGTGTAAATAGGTATCATAGATGAGAAACCTACCTCATTTGGTCATTTTGAAGTGACAGCTCATGCCAATGGAAAATGGGTGTACTCGGTTCTCCTTATTTTAATTGTCTCATCTTCTCTACATTTACTGCTACAGGATTGAATACAGATACTACATGCACTATTCACGTAAACTTAGCTGGCCCTTCACTCACTGTTGAATGGAAACCCACCTATCTTATTACTCAAAAGGTGCATCCAACTGTATAGCTCGGCCGTCAATGAAATGGGGTGAAAACTGTGAGAAATCAAAGTTCAATTCTAGTAACAACAAAAAATTTAGGTAATTTTTTCTCATCTGTCTAAGATTTGGCGGACAAAATTACTTAGTACGTACTTAAATTGGTGAGATGTAATATACATCCTATAAATAATTGAGGTACACGAAGACCGGCTCGGACACTACCATTATCCAAAAAAAATTAGTCAAAGTGACTTTAACATAGAGAGACAGACAGGACGACCTACCAATCTACAAGAGAGGGACAATGCTTTTGCTGTCTCATTTACTATGCGATTTAACGTCCTCCCTTCACCTACTTGTATGTCAGGACCATTAATTCCCATATTCATGGTTCTTTATCAAAAACCTTATTTATGCGTTGCTTTTTCCAAGGGTTTTTTTAGTAACCAATCCCTATCTTTGGACATAATCTTATGTTAACCATCAAATGTAGTTAGTTGACTGTAATAAACCAGCATAATCCAGGAAAAAGACCGCTCCCTCGATTCAACTTATCAACTGGACCTTGCTGCTGTTTCCAGAGTCCTCAATGAAGCTAGGCATAAAAAAATGCTGCTTATTGCTTATTATTTTTATTAGTCTTATTGATGTCTCTTTTGACCTATAAGTTACCGGTTGATCAGTGGAAGCAGCTACTAACATTTACATTAGGGTAGACTGTTTACATCACACTCCTTGGGTGCGCCCTTCCCCAGGGTAGACTGTTTACATCACACTCCTTGGGTGCGCCCTTCCCCAGACCCTGCGGGAATGCGGGCTGCCCTTCCGTAGTCCATCTTAATTTACTTTCTCAGTTTCTTGGTTTAATGTGAATAAAAACTGAGATGAAATCTTTCACTATACATCACTTTTCACAACAGGTTATTTAAAAAATAACACAGGAAATAAGTTGCAGTGGCCATGAAGTACCACTGAACTCGTAAGAATCAAACATTCTCTGGCAATCAATCTTTTTGGTCCCTTTCACTTTACATCTACCTTCAAGGGCTTTTTCATAAAAGGTTGCCTGATGCACAAAGCATCCCGCATTCACGCAGAGCCCGGGGAAGGGTCGCACCCAATAAGTGTCATATAGACAACCTACCCTAATGTAACTTCAAGGGCTTCTTCATGTGTTCCAAATTTCCAAAACTAGGGAAATGAAATTTAATCAAGAAACAAAATAATCCGCCCCGCAACTCCAATGGAAGCAAAGGAGGGAGATGGTATTGTATAGTGCACACAATAAGCTTTTGACTCCTGTATTACTTAACATTTACTTAAGTAGACCCAGTGCAATTAACTTGCGAGCATGCAATAACCAGGGAATATTAGAAAAAGAATTTTTCTAGCCTAAAGTTGTTTACATGATTTTTCAGAGCTCGATAACAAGGGCCATGCAACATATTTTGGGTATATCAGGGTGAAGACATGGTTATGTTTAGAGCTAAGGAGGACTTTCTCCGCATTTTGCAATGTGGATTTAAATGACACAATAAATGCACATGCAACATACACAACTAACTACATACTCCTTCACCTGCTTAATTAACTTCTGTATCTCATAATTCTTTATATACTGATCCTCACTTGTATCACTTCCCATCACTGAACTCTCTATCTCCCCTTTCATTCGTTCTCTTTTCTCTCTGTCAGACAGTCTCCCTTGGAAGCAAAATGATGGAGAAACAGAGAAGTAAGCAGAGTTCTCTAATTCTGTGGGCCGCATTTGCTGCATTACTCTCGCAGAATTTGGTCATTCCTGTCATGTCTACTGCTTCTTTTGAAGAACAGAAGAACTTCTACATTCCTGATCCAACCATCGGAAGTCCCCCAACAGGTCTCCTTACCACTCTATCCATTTTGCTATTTGCTCTAATATCTTTTTCTTTATCGGTTAATTTTATAGATTACCAAAAGCTTAGATGCTCTTTAACTAGTTCCTAAGCATAATGTGTGCTAATATACAGAAAGCACTATAAATTCTAAAATGGTAAAGTATCTAAGAAACAAGAAGGGTGTTCCTGGTTTTTTCGTTTTTAATTGTTTGAGGCAGCATTCACTCTCGTATTATTTGTTCGGTTGGTTTCATAATGGGGCTGTTCGGACTTCACTACAAGCTACCAGCACTCGGAACTCAAAACCACAACACAACCACCTTTTATTTACTAGTGTTGGAGTTTTCGCCCTTAGGAGCAAGCATTTAGTCCCAGATTATTTGGGTGTCTAAAGTTATACTGTCTTCATTCTGACAATCCATTTTGTGGATAACAGGTTCAAGCACACATCCATCAAGTGGCCATGGAACTCCGCCCTCCCATGCAACACCATCTCATGGAAGCGGTAGCCACGGAACACCACCTGCAAACTGTGGTAACCCTCCAAAAGTAGGGCATCATCATAACCCTACACCAGCTCCTCCTTCTGGAGGTCATGCAGGTGGCTACTACCCCACCCCTCCAAGTACTCCTAGACCTAGTACCCCCTCCACACCCACTGTTGTAAGCCCACCAACTACTCCTATCGTTGACCCAGGCACTCCAAGCACTCCTGCTATCCCAACACCATCACCTCCTTTTACATGCGAGTAAGTTAACTTATTGCATCATCAGCTTTAGTTTACGTTCTTAACTTTAATATGCAGCATCTTATAACACTTAATGATATGATTTGCAGTTACTGGAGGACTCACCCGGGACTAATATGGGGCTTGTTTGGTTGGTGGGGAACTGTTGGAGGTGCATTTGGTGTGGCTACTGCTCCAGGGCTCGGCGCACATATGAACTTGCTGCAAGCACTTTCAAACACACATACTGATGGATTTGGGCAACTCTACAGGGAAGGCACAGCTTCTTTGCTGAACTCCATGGTTAGCAAGAGGTTCGCTTACACCACCACGCAAGTCAAGAACAATTTTGCTGCTGCACTCAGTTCAGACAAGGCTGCAGCAGCTCAGGCTCAGCTCTTCAAGATAGCCAATGAGGGTCGGCTCAAGCCCAGAGCTTGAAAATTCATTTCCACAATCACCATCAATATCTTCTTATGTCCAGTTTCATTATGATTTCCTGTGCGCTTACTTTAGGATTGAGCATTGAAGTTTTTTTGATTGTCTTCATCAAAATTAGTGCTTTTCTGTTTGCTTTTGAATCTTACAAAATCAAGAGGATACCACCCTTCATTGTTTAATCAGTTATCAGTAAAACATTTCTTGTTGTATTACATGTGTGAGTGCCGGTTTCCAATTTCAGAATGTTCTTTTTTTCTCCTTTAAGGTAAAGAAGTTATCTTTCCAAATATAACAAAGTATTCGTGTTCCAGCATGAAGATTCTACTTCTGTTTATAAAACAAACTAACCTCAGCAACCAAGAACATAAAGAGAAACAAGCACCCGTTGTCCTCCCTCCTTTATTAAGTGAAAAACAACAGATCTGTCAAGGCTAATTGAGCTTCCTCAACAAACTTTACCAGCTTCAAATTCTCACAAGGGTGTTGATGACCATCATTGTAATTATTATTCAGTGCTGAGCACTGGATCTGAACAAAAAAGAAGGTATTCTAATAAGTATGGACACCGTTCAACTCAGAAAATGTGACATGAACATGAAGCACATGCATGAAAGAGTTCATGCCAACATCAATGCTGCACTATTCACTTAGCCGCCTTCCCTTCATGGATAATATCAGAGAGTTTACATTACTAACAACCCTGGAAAGAATAGTACTATAATGATCAATGGTTCATGAGACATAATGAAGTGTGGTGCTAAAAGCCATATACAAGGAAAGATATAATAAGAATACCTGCTTACCAAATATATACATTACATGTATATATGTACATACAAACAAACATCAAGAACACCTATGAAACATAATCTTATCCATAAAACTATTTGAAAAGTAGAAGGAAAGCATGATTAGAAATATAGCGGAAAAAACATTGGTGTTATCAATCTTGATTCATGCAATGTAGATAACCACATAGCTCAAACTGGGACTCGTCAGCCTATACACATCCAGTTTGTTCTATTTCATTACCTTTTTATGGAAATACAATGTTTGTTAAATTGCATCACCATCCAAAAGCTTAAACTGTTAGAGAGGGCACATAGTTATGTCTTCAATGCGCCCTCACATAGGGACTAATTCTTTTTTCATAGGCCAAGCACGTGAAAATTACTTCTAATAAAAAGTGACTGTAAGACTCAAACTCAGGACAGCTAACAGCTACCTACTCGGATAACATGTTGAATTTTATGATTACCTTATCTAAAAATTTAAGCTGTTAGGGAGAGAAAATATTTATTTAAATTAATTATGTCTTCGACACTTTCGCTTCTTCAAGAGGAATGGACCTCCAAGAGATTCTTTCCAATAAGACATGCTCAGGTAGATATGACCAAAAATACAAAAATCATAACAAAACTATAATGTAATATAATATTCCATTCATAGATGGGCATCACATTTTTGTGTTGCCAACTGTATTTGACAGCTAACATTACTTCCTAATGAACCTCCTGATAAAACCATATACCAACTAAATACGCAAAAAATTCCCCCATCAGCATCAGCCTTTTCAAGTGAAACAATTAATGCATCAGCTTACTATCTTAGAGAGTAATTGTTAGGGACTCAAAATTGCCTCCATTTGATACAATGAGCTGCATTTTTCAAAATCAGATCCTTCAAAGTGCAGGTTAATGGCTGAACGACTGCACAGGAAATGGGTTTGAGCTTGCCGCAGCAATACAAATAATACAACATGAAGAAACAAATATCTTACTACATCAGAGGTAATAGGTTTGAGCTTATACCCAGCAATATAAATATTATAACATGACGAAAAAGCATATCCCACTCAGAATTTCGTGTATATTAACAAGATTGCTAATTAAAGACTCATCACTAGTTTCTCTTATCACTATCTCTTTGATAAAACATGCTACAAAAGTTTTCTCTAGGATGTCACATTCCACAGTATGTTTGCTGATGATAACACAGAAAATTTTCCCCTTCACATAAGTTGTTAAAACTCATCGAGAAACCAATGAGTTACAAAATAAAAGCTCTTTGAGATAGGGGCATAACAGGCATGCCCCAGGATGCCTGAATATCTGTTGTCCTCTAAAGCTACATTTCACATTTCAGAGATATCTAACAATTTGAATTGCCCAAGTTCGTGACATGTCATTGGTTTGCATCTAGTCAATGAAGAGTTTTTACCCCAAAAGATTCCTAACCTGACTTGCACAATAAATTACTACATCTACAAGCATGTAGTATCTGCCAAAACAACAAAGAATGAAAAAGTTAAAGCAACAGTCCATTGATAATGAATGCATATGAACTTCATATATTTCGAATCACAACTTCAAATTAAGATGTTAATTAAAACAGAATAATAAAATAAAAATGTAAAGGTTTTGAGGGAACACGAAATACAGTCATCTATATCGAGATTAAAAAAAAAAAAAAGAACAGCTCAATGACAGACCGATGAAGGATTTTGATTAGCGCAGCAGGACATTAAGCAGTAAAGAATCACAAGCTGTCAGACCTTGGTTCACAACATAATATTCTTTAAAAAGAGCAGGTGTATTTATGTACCGCCACAATGAATGCTAACCAACCAAACAGCCTATCCCCACAGCATAGATTAGAAGCATCGCAGTAAAATAATACTAAATAGACTCTTGGGTATGCACCTGAATTACTTCTCCCTGCTTCAGACGCTCAAGTTGAAGGATTCATCAGTATGCAAAGAATGAGAATACAAATAAACTGATTCGCCCCAGTAAGCACCGACTTGGTTGGAATAAATACTTTTCAACCATCAGGATTTTGTTAAAGTTTTACCAGAGATATCTTTAACTCACCACAAGTTTTCTTCGACAATGTAATCAAGTATATACTCTTTTACAATAACTTATGAATTTTTACAAATCTCTCTAGATGCAATACATAAAATTTGTTCATCTGAATGAAGATCTTCAGTGAAAAAGTTTTGTGCTCCCATAAGAATTTAGGTACAACTGGCAGCTGCATGCTTTATATCTTAAAGAAGCACAAATTAAGAGAACTTGTAGCTTGTGGCTTAAAAGGAGTAGGGTGCTCGAGTTGATTTGAAATATGCCACACATAACAGAGAAAGAGAGGGAGGATCCAAAATAGAATTAAGGTACTTTTGAGTGCTGGCTTGTAACTAGAGAAGCTGTTGTCAGAGTTACTTCTCGCGGATGGACCTTAATCAATATAACATCACATCAGTAATACATAGGAGGTTCTGATCAGAAACTCTCCATAGATATATTCCGTAGAAAGAGACAATTAAAGGGAAGCAGATGAAACTTACAAAGATTACAACAAGAGTCACATGCAACAAACAATATTTGAAATGCACCAAGGTTGCAGAGCTTCTATCACATTAATCTCCAATTGGTGACACTATGGGCTTGTATGAAACGAATCCAATCATTCCAAATGAACTCTGTACCTAAGCACTTGCATGAATAACCAGCAACTAGGAACATCTATTGTAATAATACTGCAACTGAGATATCCGGAATGTCACACGAATCTCGACAGCTGACTTGGATAAATAGTTGCATTAGTGTCTGTACCTTATGGCAGAAGAAGCATATAATATACAGATTTATGTTCTTCATGGAAACCGTCACATATAACCCCCTCCCGTCCCTCAAGATGAGCAAATCCTGTATCCTACTCATGCTGAAGGATCCTCAGAAACCCAATCCAGGAGTCATAAACCTAACTACAAGTTCAGTGAATCCAATAAAAGTTGAAGCTAATACAACAAATTTCTCCACAATGAGTGTATCCAATATCAGTTGATGCTGATATAGCAAAGTTATCCATAATTGGTTATTTTATCCAGAACCCTGTCTTCCAACCTTAAAACATGATATGTTGTAAGTCAAAACTACTATATTTATACATCCAACAAAATCTAATTCAAAAAGAGATCTGAATTTAGTCTTTGGTTTCCTGCCATAATGCACTAGAGCGAGAATTCAACCATAAATTGATGATGAATAAACAGGGTCAGTAGTAACCTAGGAAGGTAAAATAATGCAAATGCCCCAGAGTCATTAGGTTTAGAAGATACACCTAAGGTGATAGGTTGGATTATATATAAATCCCCAACCATGCCCAATATATTATTTTACTAAAGATGAACTTCGCTTAATTACTTTCCAACAAATGAAGTTCACTCTCAGACAAAACGCTCACTCAATTTCTTCCAGAGACTACATTATTATAATTGAAGCAGAAAAAGAATTTTGCATATACATGAAAAAAATAGTACTAATAAATGATCACCCATGCTGAAGCATAACTAACTCAAGGAATGAAATTCCAATCCATGTAAATACTTTGATTTCATTTTCCCAAGCTCTTCAAGAACAGAAAGGCTTGTGTTTCCTTTAATGGTGATCAGAGCTTACAGCAACCTACACTTGAAGTTTCATTTCTAAGGACAAGCAAGTAGACCTAGTTTCTAAGTGTCTTGCACTATACACTCTTTTCTGCCCATAAGAAAAGGAAAACCAGATAAACAACAGTAGGCAGCCCTTTTCACATGTATGAAGTTTGAATGCTGATACAATATTTTCCATCACAACGTGGCCACAGTTATTCCAACTTGAACATCGACCTCATGAAAATCCATGAGCAACACAACGGTACTGAGGTCTGTTGTCAGCCAGTCCAAAACCGGGGTACTGATAGTCTCCCCCTGCTGACTAGAGGAAAATTACACAGCATAAGAATTCTGATCAGCTCATATGAGTTTCAAACCAGTTAAATATTTGTTCAGACTGCAAGCTGGTCATTTCATGATAAGCAAAAGCAAGATTCATTTCCTCTTGAATGTGATTCGCTATGGACTTGTCTGGGAGAATAATCTCTCTCTCCTTGACAACTGCTTTCCATTGTATAGCACGTCCATCATTTCTCATGAAACCTTTCATATCAATGAAACCCTTTTCCTGGAACAGACTATACAACTTCTCTGAGGTAGTTAGATCAAGACCCGGAATCCTATCAGCTAAGAGATTAGGTGACAATGCAAACTCCGTTCATTTGACCTCAGCAACATCAATGCCTTTTCCCTTCAAGAGTGTCAAGTATCTCTGTATTCTCCGTCTTCTCCTTTCATCTTTGGGCATGTGCACGAAAAGGGTAGGAGGGTAATTCTTCGGTGTGTCCATTTGACCAAACAA